AGTAAATTTCAACTTAATCGATCCAGTAGATTCGGAGCAAACGGACTGTGACAGACAGACTGACAGACGCTATAAGGGTTCCGTTTTTCATTTTCGGACATACGGAACCTTAAAAAGAGTGATTTTTTTGCACGAAAATAATTTAATATAATTTTTTTTGTTTATTATACTCAGGTACATTGACAAGTGATTATTTTTTGTGCATTTACTACATTAATGCTTATTTTTTATAATATTTATTGTTATTTAAAGTACTTCGTAATGGGCAGACGCCTTTATGTTTCCAGCTTTTTAACAAAATCCTACAAAAAAAATTAATGCTAACAAATTTGAAATGCTGCTGACATAAAAAATTGAAAAAAATAAATTTCCATGTTCGGTCAACATTTTGCCTTACCTGTATAGTAATTTATGTCAATTATTGTCATCTGTCATTTTTTGACTGTCGCCTCATACTTACACCCAGATTAAAAGAGTGATTTTGTGATATCTGTCGTGTTATTAAACGAACCGGAAGTAGTTGTCGGCCAGTCCCTAAGGAAGCTATTGAATTTCAGCCAGCGACAAGCCGGACTTGGGTCTGGAAGAGTTGCAGTCTTTGAACGTGAAAGAGCGTTTCCAAGTTTTCGAAAATCATCAGACGGAAACGAATCAAATCGACAAGTCGCCGTCACCGGTGAACGTGAAGAGGTCCCCGTCGATATTGTCGAAACTGGCTCGGTTCCAGGCCAAAGGGATGAACGTAGGCGTGACAGACGAATCCCTCAACGGAATCCCGATCGAACTGAGCGAGTCCGAGGAGGAGGAGGAAGAGGAAGAGATAGAGGGTGAAGATGCTGATTTGATACGCGCGAAACGTGTCCAAAAAGAAAAACCATTCCACTTTGTCCAGCTGTCCGACGTTAAGAACAAATGGGAGCACGTGAACGAGAATAGTAAAGACGAGAGGCGGGAGGAGAGGAAACAAGAGATACAAACGATTAGAAGTCGTTTGTTTCTGGTATTTATTTTGTTTCCGGTATTTTTTCTTTTTTTTTTTTAATGTTTTCTTTGTGGCATAGGGCAAACAAGGGAAGATGAAGGAGGCGTATCAGCAAGCTGTGATGGAAACGGAAACGGGGCACCCGAAAAAGACTGAACCCATAGAGATAACGAGAGAATTGGCCGACACGCGGACCATCAAAGAAAAATTCGAAAAGGGCGAACTGACCAACGACGAAATTAGGAATAAGGAACAGGAAGACATGTCTGTCTTCGAAAGTGGTAAGCAATAATTCATTTGTTTGTAGGAAGTTTAGGTTCAAATATACGAATTCGGGGGAATTTAGGTGCACCCAAAACATTACCCATTTATGTATTTATTTTCTAATATGAAATATTCTCAATTTTTACTCACTACACACTTCCTCAAATTAATGAGGAAAAATTTTTGTTGCTGTTGTCACATCCCCGCCGGGAATCGAACCCGGGCTCTTTGGCTTTACGCGCCAATGCTTTGACCACTAAGCTACGAGAGATGACAACAGCAACAACGACAAACCGTACCATTAGTCACAGATCCGTCGAACTAATGTAACTATATACTGAATATAAATATACATACAATGTAGAAATCTTCCCGAAGTGAGTTAGTTTTTAATATGAAATATTCTCAATTTGAGGAAGTGTGTAGCGGGTAAAAAAAGTGCCGAAATAAGTGTTTGATCAATTATATTACCTAGGGTATTAAGATTTTTGTCGGACAACAACGCAAAAAAGCAATTTCATATCCACTCTGGACCAATATTCGGCACTCACTGCGGCATGCTTGCTTTGGTACCTTTACTTCGTTAACTTTCGTTGATTTTTCGATTGACCCGAAAATGACGTTATATATACACATTTTGATTGGTTATGTTTGAATTTGACGCTCAAGTAGGATACAGAATTAAGTTACTTTAAGGTATGCAACTCATCTTACAAGCGAATACATGCTGTTGTATAACCTGTCCACGTCCTTGACGTTATTAATCGCAAGAGCGCTAATTTATTAAACATGAAAAGAACTATAGAATTGTTCCTGAAAATCGTATTTTGGCAGATCAAAGCCAAAATAGGTAGTATTACGACAAAATCCTACACATTATTGGTTTTAAATTTCACTTTCTTCTTAAAATATATAAACAGAAAATAATAGTGCGGAAATTTAATTGTAATGTAACTTATTTTATTATTTTAAAAACGACAAATAACACTCAAATATTTATTATCGCTTTTACATTGCTCTACAGGCACTTTACTCATTACATGTTTGTAATATAGAAATTGTATAATTAGAGTTCCAATCACGCTCAAACACAGCTTCTAACTCTTTACGTATTGTATTTTCGGTCTCGTTACGATGTAATTCGGGATCGTGCATTATAAGACCAACACCTGCCGTGTCTGTAAAGTAGTCTGCCGACCAATTTGAAGTGCCTACATAAGCCGTATTATCGGTTACCATATATTTATTGTGATTCACTCTAGCATACGGTATTTTTCGCTGGCTGTTATTTGCAGGAACCACAAAATAACCCTGCAACAGTGTAAATTGAATCACTATTCAGCTACCAACCGTTTATCCTCCACAATTCTACAGACAACGTTACACGTCCATAAGGAGCCCCCACTACACAATTCCACCCTCACAACAATATGCTTATCAAACAAAACACACGCATTATTTACAGCACATGTTGACAACTCATCCCCACTGCACAACATGCTTTCACATAGCAACAATTTTACAGGCAACTCATATTTTTTACACTACACATCAACTAACCCTCACTATACACTACACCTTCTAAACAAAGCACGTTTTTTACACGAGACAAGTCAACAGTTTAAGCATTGTAAATTAACTAGAAAGAAATACAAATATTTCGTGCGAATATGTTTGTTGAAAAGCTCTAAATCTATTTTTCGTATTTGATGATGCAAAAGAGTAACATGCGTTTATTAATGATAATAATAATGCATAAAAATAAAACTCACCACTTCTATAGATACCTTCGAATGGACATTGTTTAAAGCCACAAGGGACTTTAAAAAGTGGTCCTCAGATGATTTCGTGTGGTTCCATAGGCTAATAAGCAATCGCACCTTTACAGAATGTTCTATGGCTGCTACTCGTAGCGCGTCATCTATAACAGGCCAATACTTGATTTTTGGAGTGAACAAGAATTGAGGTGAATAATCCATCACTGCTATGTAAATGAATTTTTCAGCGNAACCAAACTTATTGGAATTTTATTCAGTTGTATGGGAAATTCGGGTTCGAATTTGACCGTTAATTGTCGCGAGGCGAATTGACGTACACCTAAAATTATTTTTTCTCTTTTCTATTAGCGATTTTTTTATTTATTGGAAATTAAAGTTCGGAATTTATTGTGATTAGTGACTGTGGTGCACCCGAACCAAACTTATTGGAATTTTATTCAGTTGTATGGGAAATTTGGGTTCGAATTTCGTTGCGATTTATCACGGGAGGAATTTAGGTGCATTCTGTTTTTTGCAGTTTTAAATTTTTAAATCGTTTTTTCCAAATTTAGCGAATTTTCCTCTATTTAATTTGATCTTCGAAGGATTTTGCCTTTTAATAAGAATTTCAGAAGCATTTCAACGATCTTTTGCAGGTCCTAAACCGTTGAAACGCTTCACCCCTCCCCGGGAGCCTATCCGGCGTGAAACTAGCAGCGAAGAGGAAGAAAGTGGCAGTGAGGAAGAGAGCGAAGAAACAGAAGAAAACGAAAGGCCCACAGTCCCAGATCAAGATCTTCTTGAGGTAAGATTATTAAAAAAAGCACTCGTTATGTACAGGGTGGCCCAAAAGTGCGCAAGTAACTCACTATGGCCAAAACATCTTCCCTATCTTAATACAAGATCGTCTGTAACATCTAAATTTTGGACCACCCTGTATATTTCACTATTTATTTTTTATATTGGAGTTGTGTTGTGTTGTTATATTTGAAAGATTTTCTTTTGTGGGTCGTCCTGTATACATATGACTTAACGAAATTTAACTGATTTGTGTTTATTTTGCACTTTCCCTTTCTGAAATTGTTGCATCGTCTGTGAGCCACCCTGTATATTCTTTCAAAAAACAAAAGTTTGTTCGATATTTTTTTTTGTTTAATTATCATGACCACCCTGTATATTCAATTTTGTAATGGACTTTGTTGAGTTCAGGGAAGTCCTTTAAAGTCCTCGTCTTGTTATTGAAAGGGTGAACCTAAGGCGGGTTGTTTTGTGCTTTACAGGCCCAAAAGGCCGCCCGTGCCCGGCAGTTAAGGGCGAAATTCGAGAGATGGGAGGCGGACGAAATCAAGAGGGAGAATGCGGGGGTTGTGAACATTGCCGAAGAAATTGGAACAACCGCTGACGAACAGTCTCAAATTGAAACCACTAGAAGGTAAGTAAGGTTACCATTTACGTACTTTTTTTTTTAATATCATCTATTTTCTTGAAAATGGCCATATTCAAGGCGCGAAACGTTGGAATTTCGTTGATATAGTTGTATTTTCAGTCTCGTTACATTATTTCTTTGGGAAAAAAAAAATGTTGTCTTAGTTCGGATTGGAACCACGCAAAACTGAAGTTGTTGTTTGTTTAACAGTTTTTTCGTTCTTCGTTTGTTTCAAATTTCATTTATTGTATTTTGTTTTTCAGTTTACGCGCTAGATTTGAATCAATGAGGGAGACAAGCAATGCACCCAGACAAGCCCCCAAAGTCAAAGTCAACAGATTCGTGGTAAGTGTTTTTTTTTTCTATTTAATTTGATTTTTTGCGTTATTAATTTTTTCTTACTAATTTGTCTGAAACTAAAAGCAAACGACTTTTTAGCAACGTAAATATTTTAATAAAAAGATGTCAGAAACGAAATTAAATATTAAATTTTTTTTAAGATTTAAATTTTTAACGGTAAAGGTCTCGAAAGGTGAACGGATAATTATTGTGTACGAAAG